CTACAGATACCCTACAAAGACCGTACAGACAGACCCAGCCAATGACATCTGTCTCCTGGTCCCCTTGGTCAAAGAACGACAACACAACACAGAACCCCACAATATGTCAGCCAACGTCAATTGTACGCACTTGTATATATCTAATATATTTTTGTCAGTGCGTTTCTGTTTTGTGTGGGGGTTTTTTTGTTTTGTTTATTTGTTTCTTGCTTTAGTTGGGGGTTTTTACTTGGGATTCATAAAGGGTAGGGGGGTGTGTGATATGTTGCGAGTGTGAATGTTGACCGAGATCCCTGTCGAGCAGTTTCTACGGCTTCTTGAGAAGGAAAAAACAGGTGACCCAACAACTTCAGAAACTTTCTACGGTTTCTTTTCCACATGCTCTTTCTTCCCACTGAGTGACACAAGGAGGGAGAAATATCTTCTCCAAACATCAAAGGTGTTACTACAGTAAAGCTGTTCCCACATCTGATCCGGACTTTGGGGATTGCCTTGTTAGTGAGACAACTTCCTGGGCCTTCGGCATATTGTGGTAGGGTGGCCAGTTCCTTTCCACGCCGCCTTTACTTCCCCATCTCGAAGTCAGGTACCCATTACTGCTGGGTGGGCAGGAGGGGGTGAATAAAATCTGTGTCCGAACTGCCTGTGTTTTAACTTTTCTGTACAGCCAAGAAAAATGTCCCTCTGGGATAATAAAGTATTATCTTATCTTAAAATTCCTAGACCTAACCCGTTTGTTGTCGAGTTGTTGTTGTTTTGTTTTTTTCAACTATAAACCACTCGTGGAATGGAATGTCTCTGGCATGCTCCGAATACATGCAGCTGTGAGTGACGTAAGAATCGTGACTGCTGACTGATAAAGTCAGATGGTCACAGCCTAGACTTGTGAAAGCCTCGGTCACCGCTCTCTACTTCACGGTCTCTGAATGGACCGGACCTGTTTTTTTATACACCGGGCAGGGGCAGTTGTCTTACCACATCACACTGACAGACTCTCACACGCGGCACGCAATCTTAAAAAACCGTCTGTTAAGAAGCGTCCCAAGGCGAGATCTCCCACGACCACTGACGTCACTACGGTACCTCGGCACTGCCAGGTCACATGGAGAGAGAGAGAGAGAGAGAGAGAGAGAGAGAGAGAGAGAGA